TGTTACCATTGGCGGCGATTGAATTGAAAAAAAATTGATGCCTTAACGAAGGCTACAGCCGATGCCTACAAGGTCGCTGCCACCTACTTGGAACGCAAGACCTGGGTGGTACGCTTCAACCACGACTTCGTCAGCGCTCGCAAGCAGCAAAGGCTGCGCAAAGCGAAGGAGCAGCAGGAGGCAAGCTCATCAACCCCGAGCTCACCTGAGTGGGAGCAGTATGTAGAGGAGCTTTTCCAGACTCAGCGTCCACCGCTCCGCGACTAAAGCTCGCAAGGAGTTAGGTGGATGCAGCTGTAGCTTTGTAAACAGCTCCTATAGGGAGCTGTGAGTGTGCAGCTTTAGTGTGTCACCGTTGCCCCTCCGGTTCGAACCAGGGGGCCCCTTTGAGCTAACGGCAGATGCGGGTGCCAAAAAAGTGTGAGCCATGTTTCTTTAGTGCGCTGCCTCATAGGGCGGAGCATGACTGCTCACAGGCTTCAATCAATCTTCAGTGCGTTCTTTGTTTTGCAGCTGAACAAGACATGGTTGACCCGGCAAGAGAGTATCATCGTTTCGATGTCGTGCCTTACTGCAGACCAAGCACGCGAAACTACGGAGCTACGCATTAATTTGGTTTGGTCTAAGAAGGGCCGAGGTCAGGAACACCGGCTTTCTACCTCAACGGTGTTGATCGCAGGAGCAGCACCCGTTTAGTTTGGAACATCGCACGGCCATGATGCATTGCTTGGGCAGGTACCTTTGCAGTCCGGCCTGGACATCAACAGCATCGTTGCTCGGATCATTGGTATGCCGTAAGGGCGCAGTACGCGTTGCAGGTGTTGCAATCGCTGCGATCAGGACCTTCAGATATCAGATACGGAGGTTTCCCTCACGATGGCTGGAGGTCGGCAGCTGTTGGCCAAAAGAAAGTTGGAAATGTTGGTAGGACACTTGCAAGCTTGCAACAGTTGCAAGGTCACTTGCTTATACCCTGGCCCCAGCCTGTGGATTCCTCGCGCGCTTCCGCAACCGTCTCTGCGAGGCCTGGGGCTTCAAGTTGAAAGCCATTTGCTTGTTTGCGTTGTTGAAACTGATCTGGCAAGGTTGCGGCTCTCTGTTTGGGGTCGCGTTTTTCTTGAATTGCAAAGGGGTATCTGAACCTTTCTTCGCAGTGCAAGTGATATCCACATGTCTATGGTAGTTCAAAGGCTTTGAGCATGTGAACTTAACCAACATAGCTGAACCAACATGGGCCCGCTTAAATTCGAACGTTGCGCGACAGATCTTCCAACTGGCTTGTTTTTTGCAGAAAGGGCCAAGCTAGAAAAAGAGGGTTGGACGCCTGCCAGATGTCACAGTGCTCAAGGCCTAGATAGAAACAAAGACTGTCAATCCCAAACATTGTGCATGGCCTTGTGAGTAGGAGTTCCTTGTTGGTGTTCGCCTGCGCAGGAGAGGCAAGCTGATTCTGAAGGCCAGCAGGCGCTGAGAAAAACTGCTGCTGAGATCGAGTGGTTTTCACAGGTTCTGACCAGGTGTCGCACTGCTTTGAACATGGTGTGCCAATGTTGTGATTTGGCTCCTACTCAGCCAAACACCGGCATAATCCCACACATTGCAGCGCTGTCCTCACTTTGAAAGTGGGCAACATCAAGCAGGTGTTTGTAGTTTGTAATGAGGCCTGCCGCAGCGAGCTGAGGTCGGGAGACTTGCAAGATGTTGCAGATCCCAACTCATTTCGCGAATTGGTTTCATGGGAGAACACCTGTTTTCTCGACACTTGGCTGCTTGGCTGCGACGGCAGCGTTCCGATTTCTAAAAGGCAAAGCAGTCAAGAGTATCCTCTGACCTTTCTTGACTGCTTCCTCAAGAGGCAGGAGTTTCTCTGTGCTGGCCTCTCTGAGTATGACAAGGCCAATGCCCCAGCACGTTGAAGGCCACAAAGGAACAAACCGTTTGTCGGCTTTACCTTGTCTTGCTAATATGGTAAAGGTGCTTGCACACATGTGGCATGGACGTGTGCGGACGTGTCTCGTGTTGGCATGACTTGTTTTGCATGGCATGTTTTGGCAGTGATGAGAATCAAGCGTTTTCAGAAGCCTCCGAGAGAGACTTCGATGTCTGAGCTTGGTCTTGCAGTTTCCATTTGCAGAACCAAACTAGCAAAGCAGAGGAAAACCGCTTCCCATGCTGGAAAGACAATTCGTCTGCTCAGGAAAGTTTCCTGCCTCCTCAACACACGTTTCCAAAGCATCCTGACAAGCTGCCACAAGTTGGAACAGCGAAAACACCCAAAACTTATTCAAGGCAACTCCGAACAACTCAAGACAACGCAACTATTAGGCAAACCAAGAAAAGGCATATTCTTCTTGTTACAGTCATGAGGCGCTGCGTCACCGGCATTCATTAATCAAGTCGAATCTACAAAACCTCCCTCAGCTATCAGGGGAGCGTGCCTAGGTTTCCTAGTCCTAAATGGTGGCTTCAGCAAGTACACAGGCCTTGCCACGCCATTCCATTACAGTGCCCTCTTGTGAAACAGTGAAACAAGCCACCCCAGAGAACGGAGGAAGACTGTAGACTGTTAGCCACCCACGCCACGGCCACGTTTACTAGGCGTTATGGCCCTTCAGCACGTTGGGCCCCCCTGGCAGGCATAGGCATCAAAAAAAATCATGAGGCATCAAGAGAATAATTTGACAGCATGAGAACAATAACCTGAGCCGCAGGCCAGTGGCTTCTTGGCTTTTCGGCTTTCTTGGTTTTGCGACTGTTCTGCATGGCATGCAGGCCCCTCGCATCGTGATTTTTGTTAATATGTGTTTTGCTACCATTATTCTTGTCCGTATTCGTTTTACGACTCGTATTATTCCCCCTTCTCTTTCTTCTTGCTAATTTCGAGTATGGCCCTCAACTTTTTCTTGATGCTCATCAAATTATTTTGTGATGCCGGGCGCAAACATTCAAGTTTATTCATGATTCTTGGTCATTTTTTAGATGCTTAGCGACTTTTTATTTGCGTCACCCCATACCCGTGCTGAGCCTCAACCTCTTCTTTTGGAGGAGGAGCACCCTATGCGAAGGCTGGCAACCTCCAAGTCCTGAACGATTAACTGCCGGGGAAACCAAAGCCCGTCAAAACCAACTTGCCTCACAGGCTTTCTCGCCTTACTAACCCGGGACAAGCAGCAATAGAAAACGCTTGGGGAACGACGCTTGCCCGGAGCCAGCAAACGTCCAAAACACAGCCAGGTGACCAGCCCAGCATAGCCCAGCCCTATCTTAAAGGCCCATTGGCCGGGCAAAAGGGCGCGACAGCTTGCCGCAGCAACCCACCACCCAAAAACCCTAAGCCACCACCACGAATTTTGCCAGAACTGGCACCCTAACCTGTTCCTGCTCTTTGGTCAGGGTAGCCCCCATTCCATGGCACCCTGAAGAAAAAGCTCCTCAAAAGCGCAACATCCCAGTTGCTCAAAAGAATTGGGTAGGTGAAAGCAAGGCGCCCTCACCTACCCACCTGGCAATCACAGATTTGAGGCGGCAGCTAAAAGCGTCTGTGACTCCTATCCTGGCTGGGCGGCCTATAGGGAAAAACTAAGGGGTAGTGCCCAAAACTCTTTGGCCCTGGAAGGGAAACTTTGTAGCAAAAGCTCTTCCTGCAGGCTCTATTTCCCAGGCCTACGCACAGGAAAATGCCAAACCAGCATTTTAGTCATAGTAAGAATCGGCCTGAAACCAGCCCGGGCCCACCCTTTGGAGGATTGGCAAGGCTGACCTCCAGATTCCGCACCAAATGGCTTGCAGGTAGAGAACCCTCACGTTGAAGTGACCGCATCTTCCGTTGGGCTTGAATGTTGTGAGATTGTGATAACTTGGCCTCCAAGATTACCTGTATCTATCTGTGCTCGACCCGACCGGTTTTATTGCCAAGTTTGCCACTGTATGTCAGCTGGGTGAGTGGACAGATTCGCGGTCAATCTGAAAGCTGGGCTTGTCGAGCCCAAGAACACCAAAGCTTTAGCTTGACTCGTGTGACCTGTGCTGGCACAGGACATGCCCTCCCAGCCAACCGACAAGCTGAGCATGCTGACGCTGAGGAAAGCCAGGGCATCTCCCAGAAGCGTATAGAAGACAGACTTCAGGTTGTTTGCAAATGGCTCTGAGGATATCAGGCTTACATCGCCTTGAACAATTGACTACGCACATGTGCGGCTGCGGTGCTAGAGATGTTTCACCGCGCCAAGACGGCGTTCACGGGGCTGCAGAAGGAGCATGCAAGCCTGCAATGTGCTACACTTCTTTTTTGCTCAGAGTTTTGAACTTCGCAGGTAGAAGCACTTCAGGTTGCTGGACAGCCGAAAGCTCTAGTCTCTCCGCAGCATTCCCACGAGATGATGTAAAGTTGTAATCAAAGGTTCCCAGGAACGCATGATTGTTCATGGCCGCTGGCATTCGCTGACGCGGGCCGAAGTTTATGCGGGGATGAGCGATCTGAGTGGTTAAGAAAGCGGCAGCTTATTTCAATGGGGTGAGACGGTGAGAACGTCACCGACCTATAAGGCAAGGCGTTGAGCTGTACATGTTGTGTCTGCTGCAGCTTTCATCTCCAATTTTGCGGCATTGGAGATCATCTTACTCACATGTCGGCAACTTCCTGGCACATATGCGGTAGCTGTGCAAACTTTTTGAAGCTGAACAAGTGCAAGACTGGCCTTCTCAATGAATGCTGCCTCCCAGGCACCTTACCAATTGAGCTCTGCTTGTCTGCGGGCTGGTCAAAGCACATACCCCTGCATGGCTGCTTCGACTGCATTTTTGTTTGGCTCCTCTTTGAACCTGTCGTTGTGTTTGAGTCCAGTGCACGGCCTGAGGCCGCAGTTGGTCCGCAAAGGCTGCTGTGCTTTGGACGCATCGGTGCGGTTCCTTGAAGATTGGACTGATATGGGCCTTCACAAGCGGCCTCAGGTTTCTGGCTATTCATGTCAACTTCATAATTGCAGCCACTTCGTCAGAAAATGCCGATCAACACCGTGGTTTCCGCTTCCTGGCCTTCAATGTGTTTCGATGTATCATGTCCATGAAGACCCCTCGAGTTTGTTCTGCGAGCAAGGAGAACACAACGTTGAGCCCCTGCTTCTGAAGCTGCTCGCAAACAAGAGAATGTTCAGCAGTACTGCCAGCATCACTATGACTACTACTGATACTAGTGATGATTATGGTGGCAGTAGTAGTTGTAGTAGTGGGAGGCCCTACCACCTATTTTCTCAAATTGCGCATGTTGAAACCAGGCAAAAAATGCGGAAATATTGTTTCTCGTGGAATGCCAAAAAGCTTTGTACGTTCGCAATGCGTGGGGGAGGGCGAGTGGGGGGAAGGGGGGTGTGGGTGGGGGCATAGGTGTGTCAATTCGAAGAGTGCACATGCAAAAACTATTGGCATTTACAGCATGTTTGATGATTTTGCGTGGGTGAGGCACGTTCCACTCCAACCCTCTTCCGCTTGGGCTCTTGACAGTCCATGCCTGACACTTAAGGGAACATAGTTGGTAGGGGGGGGGG